GATCGTAGTAAATAACTGATATTCAATGTTATGCGTCTTTTTCATTTCAGACCATGTACGCAGAGCACACTGGATGCTTCCGTTTCAAAGTTTACCCAACTCCTCTGCGATCCACAATGTCCCAGATCTACCACAGGCTGTGACACCACGCAAGTATACTTTAATCGTTTCACTGAAGGACGAAACAACGTTAACCGGGCCAGTACTTACTACGGCCAGAGATAGTCAGAATAGTATACCTCCATCATATGAAGAAGTTATCCGACATTATGGTCAAGTTACTGCAGCAAGTCAAGAACACGAAAGTTCGGAGAGTGACAAATTTACGCAAATATCGCCATTGGTGGAATGTAACCAAATGCACGACAATTTTCATGACAGGTTCAACCACTTTGATAACATTTCTCACCAAAGATATGACTTTGACGATATGAACGAATATGACAATTCACCGGGCTATGATTGTAATTCACTGTCAACACCAAAAAGTGAATATTCCGGCTTGATGTTTGCATGTCATTCTACAAATGAAGAAAGTTTACCTTTCTTAGACAAAAAAACAGATAAACAGCGCACTCGCCAATCTTCGTCGTCAACCGACTGACGTGGCCGACTTATGTAATGTTCAGTCGAATGTTTCAGTGCGTGTAGTTAAATTTTGTATTGATACATATGGTTTATGGATGACCATGGAGGTACGTGGGATGACGTTGCATTTTGTATTTTATCCCAAGGAACGTATTTGAAACGTTTGACAATAATGGAGGTCAGTCATATGTGACGAATCTATACGCATTTCATATATGAATTGGTTGGTTTCACCATGGAAGGTACTACGTTAGTACCTTCCGTGGTTTCACTGTCTTCATGGTACCCTCGTCCCAGAACACTAAAAAAAGAAGAACAGCATCGCAACTTTATATTATCGCGAAGGCGTATGCAGCCCGAGTGAACGGACAGTAATGTACTGGATTAAATTGCATTATTTGTTATGATGATATTGTATTTATAAACTAAATCATCGAGTCAACTATTCCTAAGATGTATGTACAAATAAATGTATCATAAGGTGTTAAAAACAAGGGTACACATTCTCATCAGTGTGTCGATTGATGGCTCTGTTCACTTGGAAATTGTCTTTCTGATATGCATACATATATTTACAGTCCCGGCGATTATCACAGTGGACGAGCAGACACAGAGCAATAATTAAGAACGTTGGACATCGGTCATCGCGTGGCATTTCACATATTACCTTATCGACCCTTCACATGGTGACCATTCAAGTATATGATAGTTTTGTTTCAAACATTTTCTACTACTGAACTATGGATAGTCTGTGCATAATACATATTGGCTCACCACAGTTAAATCTTAATTGTCATGACAATATTTACTGATTATTCATCGCGATCATTATCTGACTTGGGTTATAACTAACATAAACCAGCCCAGTAAACTTCTTCACATTCTTGAATAAAAAAAATGTTTTTACACGATTTATGTGTATTGTGTCATACATTCATAAACATAAGTACGAAAGGAGATGATTGTTATACCTCAAGTGACAATTTATCATTATGTTACGTGGCTCGCCATCAGAAGTTCATAAAATAACTCTTTTTTACCCAACTTCATTCACTGTTCGTTGTATATTTTATCTAAAATCCCCATTCATGTGCCACCTCGTTATACGCTATTGCGTATTCTCTTAAAATATCAGGTACATGCCTGGAGGTATTCTTTATACCTCGTGTACTTTCGTTATCTGTATCTACTTAAACTGATATTGATATCCGTGGTAGTTTTGTAGCTTTTGGTCTGTTTTGGTGGGTTATTAAATCCAATAGTAAAAATTCTCGCATGATAAATCTATATCCTTATTAATATTGTAGGGATTTAGGGAATAATGTAATCTTTAATCTTCCGTGCGTTTGATACTTTTTTTTATCTTACACAAGTGGGTTTGCCAAAAAATTATCACATAAAAAAAGGCACCACTGAGATTCGAACTCAGGATCTCCTGTTTACTAGACAGGCGCTTTAACCAACTAAGCCATGGCGCCACCTACAGACGCTTTTTATTTCGTCTGTTGTTTATTGCATGTGTTCTTAATTGTTGTTGCTTGAAAACATGGCAATAGTCATCGTTAAAACATTGTTTCTAGGTAATCAATAGTTTCTCATATGATCGTGTTGCATTGCTTATAAGCAGGTGGCAAAAAAAAAACTGCCCACTGTTATATGTCAAATGTATCTCCAATAATGTCCATATCATTAGTTTAACAAACGTGAATGAAGCCATATCTCAGGGGTCTATGATAAACACGTAACCTAACGTAACTCTTCAAATTGTATTGACGTAGAGACAATTTCCATGCCCCCCTCACTTCGGCGACTCGTTGCCAGATACAAATATTTGCGCCGATGTTATCGTTACCCATTGTCGGATTGTAACAGCGATATCGTCGCTTGAATGTTAATGGCGATAGAAGGGTAGAGATATTCCTGAATACGAAGTTATGTTAGAAAAGTACTGATAAATGATAACGATAAAGTACAGCTTAGATTCCATCACAGTAGTGGCCGCCACCTCATTCCCCATCAAATGCTTTTAGAAGCGACGATAGTCAAAATAACTGAAAAATATATTATCCAATTCGACGTTAGCATGTAATCCAGTTCACTGATGTACATGACATGAGTGAACAATAGCTACAAATATTTACTGCTTAAAGGGCGGCAGTCGTCGCGCCGCGTCCTGTTCGATATGGCACTCATTGCGACGTATACAACGCGTGTTAAATACATTCGAACACGCGCTGCGCGACGACTACCGCGCTTTAAGGTATAGATGCAGGTTATAGTGCCACCATTACATTTTATCAAGTTGATGTCACAAATTTCTATTGTATATTACAAAACAAGCACAAAATAAACGCAGTACCTATACTTTTAAATACGCTGGTCACGTACGGAGGCCGTTAAATTGAATGTCCTTCCTAAATCGCGCTTGTAATGCTTTTGCTGAGTGATTTCTTTAACTAGTTGTGTCGATAAACTTTAATCGCGTAAGTCCTTAATCGTATGTCCTGCGAGTGCCCCTCATTGCGTATTCATTGATCACAGTCAGCATGGTTTAATAATCAGAACTAAATTACCATTGTGGACTTGAAAAATAGTAACCAGGCACCCTGAGTGATGGATTTTGATGTCGACAAATAGCTCATGAGAATAATTCTGATTGGCTAGAGATATACTCACGTGTGTTTTACTTGCATTTACACATGTTCACCTCAGAGTAGCTGTATTGTTGAGTACATTATTTTTATTTTTAATTCGTAATTCGAGTTTAAAGCGGGAGGGTCGTCACCTGCGCACGCGCTGGAATTGTGTCCCAAGCGACTATAATAACACACGCTAAAAACGACTCCCTGCTTTAAATTCAGGTGTTTTTTGTTTTCCACGATATATAATGTTTATGTATTGTTGACATATTCTCACAAAATGACTCATTTTTGACATTGAATATTCTCAATGTCTGCGTACATGTATAAAACACACAGTGCTGTACTTAGTGTCTGAAAAACTCAGTTCAGAATGTACTAAACGTCGTTGTTATAGTAACCACTATGCACACATTCTGAGCTGATAGCCTAAAGGGATAATATATATATTATGTATTGTGGTTTAAAAGCGAAGTACATCTAAGAATCACGTGATTATCTCGACCACAAATCGGCAGCCTCCGGTCTAATACATGCAATTAAATATAATAGTTTCTAGTGCCAAATTGCTCTTGTCACGTGGCAATTACTAAATACAGGTAAAATAGTAAATTTACACGTATACGATTATCCCTCGGCCATATCATCAAAAATTGTGTAAGTTATTGTATTTCGCAATATATAATTACAAAAGTTGTCGACTCGAATATGCGTATGAAATGTATCTGCTCACAGATATACGAATATGTCTGTATTCGGCTTTTTAACCTCTCCCCGACAATGCGGCGTTGCTTAATTGACTATATTTTCAACATCTGGCCTTTTCGTACACCCTCAGGGGCGCCTTCTCTTCGGAATAAAGGAAGCCGCCGAACCACGTGACTGGAACGCATCACTAGGAGATGTTGAATTTGTTCGTGTTACGAACATCGAGTTACGAACATCGAGTTACGAACATCGAGTTACGAAACATCGAGTTATATTATTGACCACGCCTCATTTTGCAAAAATCACGCCCAAATTGTAACTCGATGTCCAATTAACATTTAATAAAACTTCGTGGTATGGACAACATATATTTTTATTAAACATCCACTCTTAGTAACTCGAACTTACGTATTTCATGTTAACCGAACTTCGAGTTACTGGCTTCATAGATTCTTTGTTTTGTTTAACGTTCAAAGTTAGTAACTCGAATTTTCATTAACAGTTAACCGAACTTCGAATAACAGGAAATGTACAAAGTTAACCAAACAAATATTATATGCTGCCCGTAACTAGAAGTCCTGTTAACTGTTAATTGAACAGCGAGTTACAATTTGAGCGTGGTTTCGCAAAAGTGGGCGTGGTTTCTGAAATATGGGCCGTGGTCATTTTTGTAACTAAATGTTTTCGTAACTCGGTGTTTGTAACTCGATGTCCGTAACTCGAACAATTTAGCATCTCCATCACTGGAGTTACTACCGATAACCGCTCACTGCATGTCACTTATTGGTCCGCCAAGAGGTAGACACGTCGAATATTTCCGATTGGTAAATAGTTGCAAACAATATTATTGAATAAATCAAGTACTAGTATAAAAAGTAACCAACTCGAAAAGAGTGACAAAAGCAGCGTCTACTAGACAACACGATCACATCATCCAAACGATACGACGCGACGAGCTGTGCAGCATCCTCGTCTCATTGAAAGCAACAATGTTTTGTTTGATTTGGCCTCTTGTTTTCAAGCGATAAACATACGATGAACAAAATGTATTAGAGATCACTATTTTTCCAAATCGTGACTGCGAGGAACATTATAATTAAAATTGCATGATCGAAATCAAAAGAAGTGACAGTCTAACACTTTAAAAACCGACGTGGACACCCATGAGAATAGATGAATGAGGCCAGGAAATGATGCAGGCAAATCTCATACATATAACCCACAATCATTGATGTCTACTGTCTTTGATGTGGGTCGCAAGTTGATTCATTGCAAGTCGTAAGTGGTTTCCACAAACATTATTACCGTACCACTTACTGACACACAGGATGAAACCAATCCTTCGTGTACACGTGCCAGACAGCGTATTTGACGTCACATATTGGAGCTAATTATCACTCATGTCGTCTTATCGTTTTTTTCTACGTGGCTTTGTATAAATGTCAGACGCATGCAATAAATAACAACATTGGCAACAGGGGATGACATCGGTAATATCAATTTCACGTTTCAGCGTTCACGCTGATCATGTTCTCTCCCCGACATCCACATTTCGCCGATTGACATACGTTAAGTTCTTTTGTATTCAGCGTCTCACCAAAAGCAGAATAAGTGTTTTCCGTTCCAGCTAATAACATGCTATTCAGTGAGTAAATCAATCCAAGAGTGC